TTCGTCCGTGCGGAACTTAAAATAAATAACTTAGAAGCATGTGTTATTCCAAACTTTGTTCGACATCTGTGGGATCGTGATCAATTTTATTAGTAAATGCGAAAGCTTAGATGGATGAATATTTATTAGAGTTTGTAGCCTAAATTACTGAACGGATCTTGATGAAATTTGGCATAGATGTAGAGGAAGTCTTAGAGTTTTTTTTGATTCCACGCGGACAGATTCGTGGGCAAAAGCTATAGCTATAGTTTATAATAATAAGTATAGTAATGTAATCTTTTATTTTTTTTTGTTTATCTATACTCTATACTAATATTATAAAGAGGAAATATTTGAATTAAAAAATCTTTCACCGTTAGAATGGTAATTTATCTGTGAGAAACATGTGCTTTTTTAAATTTCAAGCGGGCGAAGTTCCTACCAACAATTAGTTTTAAAATATATGCAAGTGAAGTCAATAATAAATAGTATAACAGAGATTATCACAGTAATATGTTAAAACGTAACTGACGCTAATTTGTTTTCACTTTTGGTATAAATCCGGCAAAATTATTAACACTTTCTATGCGCTTTTCACAAATTAACAATATAAACTTAATTACAATTTATGTTGTAACTGAGTAACACTAATTAAAGGTATTTTCTATCGAATTAGGTGTTCCCTTACTGTTTTGCGCATGACATTATAAACAATTTATGTTAATACTAGCGTTCGCTCGCGACTCCGTCCACCTGGAATCAAAAAACAAAAATAAGTCTATGTGTCCTTCCAGACTATCCTCTACATGTATGCCAAATTTCATTGAGATCCATTCAGCAGTTTTGGCTACAAACTCTAAAAAACATTCATCCATCCATCTAAACTCGCACATTTATAATATTAGTATGATAGTAAGATATACATCCCGTATAACATTTATTAGCGAATATCAGAATTCAAATACTACAACGTAGACATTTTCCATTGGTTGACAATTATCGTTACCATAGCAAACTTGCTCGATGTACACAGGATGCTCTAAGAAATAAAGTTTCAACTCCATTTATGTCAGGTTGCATTGAAAGCTGCCGCTACAACTTGAGTAATTTAACGACCTTATTTGTACTTATTTACTTTTCTCACGTTGTGTATTACTTAGTTGGTTATATAGATTTATGGACTTTTATCTAATACTAGCTGTTCGTGCAGCTGCATCCGCCTGAAATTATAAAAAAAATATTTTATTGTATACAATTGCAAAACTCAAATGCACAAATTATGTCGAAGGCCTTTGACATTGGATACAATTAACATTACCTTAATAACCTTGCTTCTTTAATATTGGCAGCTTGAAGTGACTCCTTTCCCACATGAAGGTTTCTTCCAATTTATTTACTCCCTTAGTTTAATAGTGTTAGGAATAAAATTAGTACCGTGCTATAGAATTGGCGCAACTCTAGATTATCGGCATAAACGTCACGTCCCTAGCTGACAGCTGTCAATGTCACTAGAAGTATGGATAGATTTGGCGCGCATCCTAAGTCTTGACGAGAAGTATTGCTCTGAGTTAAAAGCGACAGTATCAATTAAATAAGTTGTCTAATAATAGCGTGAAAATATATAAGTAAGTGTAGGGTTTTTTATTGATGAAAAAATTATTCAAAAATAGATTGTGATTGCTGACATCCTACGCTACGAAAAAGTGTGTGTTTACGCTTTATTACATTGGTACAGATATTAGATAGATTATTTTATATATGGACATTTTTGTATTTCAATTTACAAATATCAGTTAAATCATTCTAAAAACACTTAGAAACTAGTGTACTGTTTGTTGTAAGAAAATTTCTACCAATCATTCGATTGACACCCAGACCCTAAGTACTAAGATATCTATCTAATTCTCTAACAATGAAGATACACTGCAGTGCAAGGGAAAGTCGAAAACAACTGTGTTTTCTATATCATGCACGGAAAGAATTTCACTCTTCCTCAACTTCAAAACTATAGAAATGAACTCCTGGCTTACCTCCGTGACCTCGTCCGCACAGAATTATTAAAAGAACTAGGTAAGTAGCCTATGTGTTCTTCTGGACTATCCTCTACATCTATGCCAAAAATCATCGAGATCCGTTCGGCAGTTTAGACTACAAATTCTAGCAAACATCCATCTATCTAAACTTTTGCATTTATAATATTAGTAAGATAAGATTATTTCAATTCAGCATGAAGACAAAATTACGATAACATATTTATAATATAAATAATTAATTATTGTTAATTATAGCATCATCTAAATAAAGTTTATAATTTAAAACTAAAAACGCTTTTTTTCATATTTAACCTTTAAAACAATAAAACAGCCTCCTAAAATGTTATTGGTTAAGACTGCTTGGATGTCAAATATACAATCGTTTTTACATATGTTTAGAAAATAGAATATTATATCTGTATAATATACAGGTCTCAAGTTTCTATTAAATATCCTCTCGTTACAAACACCGCAATGAGTGGACAGGCTTTTATGACGTCGTTTCACGTCAACGTATAGTTCGACTTATAGTTCTTGATACTTGGTAATAATTTTAATTATTTTATCAAATTCATCATCAACTTGCTCTTATACCTTATGGAGGGTCGGCACAGTATGTGCTGCTCTTCCATACATTTATATCAGCCGTCATATCTGAAACCATTCCTTTCTTGAGCATATCCTCTTTCACACAATCCATCCATACTTTCTTCGGTCTTCCTCTTCCTTTGTAGCCATCCACATTTTAAACACTTTCTGGTTTATGTCCCCATCGTCGCATAACATGTCCATACCACGCTAACCTTATTATTAATTATTATATCAAATTGCAACGCTAAATAAAAAATTAAACACATTTGAAATTTGATGGCAGTTTTAGCATCTGAATTATTTTTAACTATTGAATGCAAATGTTTAAAAACCACGTCATATGGTAGTCCATAATCACTACCTTTTGTTTTTGATTTATCCTATTTATTCATTAATTTTTGGTTACCGTTGTGTTCTTCAATACAGCGGAATTATTTGAATTAATTGCACGATCACGCATCGCTGATTTAATTCACAATTACAATGAAACATAAACGCAGTAAACTCTGTATAAAACAATAAAATTAACGAGAACTCTCAAACAACCAATGGAAAGTATAACATGTGATTTTGTTAGGCATTGTTTTTGATGTGAACATCAATATACTAGTAAACCCTTGCTTTCTTTCATGGTAAATTTATGTTACGTTTATGAGAAGTATGCGTTTCCCACGCGGTTCATTTTTAAATGTTTGTGGGCCTCATCACAATGTACTATAATAAAAACTAGTCTATATGTCCGTATGTAGCTTTCTAAGTAAGATATAGATGTGGCATTTAATGATCACAAAGATTTTTTTTTTATTTATTTTCACAGGGGGCTTTGTCGCGAAGCGACAATAACGCCCCATAAATCTTCAACAAAATCATAAACTTAAGAAAGGTTACATCTTCCGTTGTATAATATTTACGAGAAAACGGTCAATAGAATTCGAGAAAATTACAAAGTAACCAATGTCCATACTCATCAGTATTTACAATGCTTTGCCCATCTATACTAATATTATAAAGAGGACAGATTTATATTTTTGTATTTTTGTGTAGATCGAAATAACTCAAAAACTACTGGACCGATTTTAAAAATTCTTTCACCATTAGAAAGGTCATTTATTAGTTAGTAACATAGGCTGTACTTTTTATTCTTGTTTTTTTTATTTCACGGGGGCAAAGTCGTGAGCAACAGCTTTATTTCATAAACAACCCCCATAAACATACATACGTATACAATCCTCCGTCAAATCTATTTCCTTTTCATACTTTCCTTGGACGAAAAGTCGCTTCCCACTAGGGACAGATCCCTATGTATGCTTGTATCTTTAAAACTACGCAACTTATTTTGATGTAGTTTGTTTGTAACATGTACATCATAGTAAAGAAATACTGATAGTTTTAGAGGTTTCTAATGTGGTGTTGTAAATATATACATTTTCGTATCAGTATTGCACCCGTGTGAATCCGGGGCGGGTTGCTAGTTGAAAATATGATGATTGTTACAGCTTATTAGTTACCACTAGTAACAAGTAAGCTTGAATAATATCGCTTCTAATTGATCCTCAGGTTTTATACCATTGCGAAAATAAACTCGAAATCCTTTTACCGGCGAAATTTCTTATATAAAATATTCGCACGTCTAGACATGAGTATGCATTAAAATGTAAATCGATTTCTTATTTTAAAATAATTGCTTGTTGAACGATTTCATTTCACTTTCTTTATATAATTTCGGATATTTCCTTGTATGTGGACCATGCAAAACCGGCTTATTACGATTTATTTAACAATAAATACGGAATATAAGGATGAAAGGGATAAGAATAGAGAATAGATAAGGATGAAAAATCTATACGATTCGTTGCAGTCTATAGAGCGGGCGCACACCTTTGACTAAATTATCGCATGACTGTTGTGCGATTGTCGATTGTTTCGCAGATAATTCAAACGTTTACTTGCACAACTACAAATTGAGTACTGTGAGCACTTCCATATAAGCTCATAGGAATCAAAGCGACTAAATGGTTGTGCGATAGTTTAGTCAAAGTACAATACTATCAGTATTCGGTTATATAATCAGTATTCTTCCCTGAATTAATAAGGATTAAATTTAGATTCATCAATCATAAATCAGATACACAAAATCGAAAACAAATATTGTATATAAAAAAAATTAGATCAGTATCAAGACAGTTTTTATCTAGTCTCAAACGCATCCGTGCGGCCTGTACGTAAGTAGCACCATTGATTCGTAACTCGCACACATATATACTACATACTATGTGAATGAACCCAAAAATTCTAACGTACATTAAACTGATCGTGTTAACGTGAAATTATTTCGTCGGTGCCAGTTTAATCGGACCGCCTTTGGGTTCACTTTTCTTGTCCGGCCGGTAGTGGGGTGATACGCTTAAAACAGCCCGTCTTATACACCGTAGCCACACTTTGTACCAAGCTTTCTGGGGTTGCAGGCAAGATGAGAGGTCTACTCGCCCTATTTCTGGTCGCGACCGCGCGGGCTATGCCTGCTTTCGACCAAGATGCGAAAGAACAAGGATTGATGACTAGCGTTATGGGAGTTGTCAAGGAGTGTGCTGAAAATGACGTATCCTTGTGCTTAAAGGTACGTCGTAGTGTCCAGTGTTGTGTTGTGAAGTGTTCGTGTATTACGTGATTATTAAGTTTATCTTTTGGTTGCAGGAGAAGGCATTGAAATATGTTGAATCGCTGTCGACTGCTAGGGAGATGGATTTAGCTGATGGAGTAACACTTCTTGGTAATGGATCCCCGAGATCGGCGAGGGCTTTCGAACCGTTGTCTGATGAACCTCAGGCGAGAGAAGCTCAAGTAGAATCAAGACTATTGGATTCCGCTGCTGACTTCTTGGAGAACCATGTCATACAGTTCAAGCTGCCTTCATCAGCTGTCGAAGGCATGAAGCGATCTTTGGAAGAGGGTAAGTTCAGATATATTTAACTACTAGCTTTCGCCCGCGATTCTGTCTGCCAGGAATTTAAAAAAAGTCATTAGTTATTAGCCTATTTGTTCTTCCAGGCTCTATTCTCCATCTATGCTAAATTTCTTCTAGATCCTTTCAGCCGTTTAAGCTGAAACTACAACAAACATCCATCCATCCAAGCCTTCGCATTTACAATATTAGTAAAATGAGACACAATAGTAAACCAAATTGTATAAAATTTAACATGTAATTTTCGCAAAAACAAAACGTTCTGAAAAAAAAACTAGATTTTAAAAATAATTGGTTAGATTAAAAGTAACATTATTTAAGAATATTGTTATTAATTTTTTTATTTACAATAATAAGTAAATAGTAATAACATAAGCAAAATTTCAATAATTTTCAAATTAGAATGGCATAAAAACGGCCAAATAACTAGGGCCAATGCTCCGATTAACTAATCCATATTTAAAAAAAATGTATTCCATTTTCAAAAATTCAAAATACATGAATTCAGTTATTGGAACTTCGCCAAATACTTTCAATTTCAACACAAGCTATTACATCAGTTACAAAACAAGGAACTAAAAGAATGAAATAAGAGGGACAAATAAGAAAAACCAACAATAAAGTAGGTCGGTAAACATCGCGAGAATAAAAGAAATGCAAAGTTAAATGTGTTCAGTTCACGGTCCGCGTTTCAATGTTAACCAAATAAAAGATAACGAGAACAGTTTATTTTTATAACAGTTTACACTTCGTATTACAATGCGTTCAATTTAGTCGGATATTGTTTTAAGATTTTTTTCTTAATATTATATGAATACTAGCTTTAGCTCGCGACTCCGTCCGCGAATTAAAAAATGCAATAGTAAATAGCCTATTTTCTTCTAGAATATCCTCTACATCTGTGTCAAATTTCATCGAGATCCGTTCAGCAGTTTAGGCTACAAACTCTAGTAAATTATCTTACTTCTGACTAATATAATGAATGCGAAAGTTTAGATGGATGGATCGATTTGACGTATCTGTAGGACAGATCAACGGATCTTGCTTAAATTTGTCATAGATATAGATAGGCTGGAAGGCAACAGATTAAAGATTATGTTTTTTTTTTTTTATTTCAATCTGACGGTATCGAGGTTGGCAGTTCATTATACAAACTTAATTTAAACACAAATATATTTAGATCAAACTATTACATTAGAAGTTTACTAACCTTTAGTAAGCAAACTTAAATGATGAATACTTACCTTAAAAAACCATTCTAAAAATAACAACTAATTAATGCAAATTGTTTCCGTTATCGTCTTTTATGTGTCTTTTATTTATAGAAAGAATTAACCTAGTTATTATAGTTATCTTTTTTCTAATTCTATCTTACTTTTGTATGGATATACAAGCTGTTACTCGCGATTTCGTCCGCGTCAAATTAGAAAATAACAAAAAATAGCCTATGTTACTCACAGATAAATTACCATTCTAACAGTGAAAGAATTATTAAAATCGGCCCAGTATATTTTAATTATTTCGATACATTCAAAAATACAAATCTTTCCTTTTTATAATAGTATAGATATAACTCAAGAACTTAACGGATCGAGATTAAATTTAGAATATACAGCCTAAAGTAACGCTTATTTTTTCTTAATTCAAAACTACGACGACGAAGTCGTGACCTTTAGTTTTACAATAATATAAATGCGAAAGTTTAGATAGATGGATGTTTGTTAGAGTATGCTGCCTAAACACGGATTTTATTGAAATTTGACATATATGTAGAGCATAATCAGGAAGAACATGTAAACAACTTGATTTTGTTAATTTTAATTCTCCGCAGACGGAGTCGCGGGCAAAACCTAGTATAAAATCAATGTTGTTCGTAATCTGTAAATTTAACGTCCAAAACAACTTTTACTTTCCGATGATCGGTTTTAATTGTTCTTAATGTTTTCCTTTCTGTTAAATAACAATTTTAGTCACTTTCTCCCGCATCAAGGATCTGGCAACTTTCACTGTGTCACTGGCCGCTGTATTGCCATAAACACGTTTATACGATCGTGAATGTGAATAAGACTTTATGTATTTCGACTTCTCATGTTATAAAAAAAAACTATTATTTAAAGACAACAGCTACCTCAAGTTATGAATTTTCTTAATGGAAATTAAATCAGTAATTAATTTAGGTAAATAAATGTCAGTTTTAAACTATTTTTCATGGTTGAATCGAGTTAAAAAATTACAAAAGAACACTAGCTGTTGCTCGCTACTTCGCCCGCGTGATATGAAAAAGTGTAGCCTATGTTACAGATAAATTACCTTTCTAACGGTGAAGGAATTTTTAAAAGTCCAGTATTTTTTGAGTTATTTCAATACGTGCAAAAATACAAATCTTTCCTCTTTTTAATAATATTATAATCTTACTAATATTATAAATGCGAAAGTTTAGATAGATGGATGGATGGATGTTCGTTAGAGTTTGTAGTTTAAACGGCTGAACGGATTTCGATGAAATTTGGTATAGATGTAGAAGATAGTCGGGAAGAACACATACATAGGTTATACACTTTTTTTTTATTCTACGCGGACGGAGTCGCGGGCGGAAGCTAGTACAATATAATATAACATTATTCGCACATAATTAAAACTGTTTTATATTTCAACAGAAACTAAAATAGTATTTTATTAGTTAATTGCTAAGTAACAAGATCTATTAGTATATTTAGCACTTGACGTCTATATAAATCGCTATTACATCCATTATTAATAACGCGTGCAAACAATAGGCATTTTTTGACCCAATTGTTTTGCAACTAAGTGTATTCATATGCCTAACAGGTGTGTAATACGTGATAACACGTTGGTATACACTGGGTCAGGAAAGTGGAACTCAAAGTGGAACTCAAAGTAGAACTCAAAGTGGAATTCCTACAACGGCCATTAGACGAGTTCCGTAGTCGGAATCCTTGTTCCGAGCTTTCAAACCAGTTTCCTTAGGCAAGTCATCGTGAAATCTGACCATGATGTTACGGAAAGAAAGTTGTTCTACCATTGATGGTCAATTATGATTCATTGCGTTGTCGAATCATTCAATCATTCATTATTGAATGCCATTTTACAGTTATAATATACAATTAATTATAACGTACTTTCACCCATTCATTCGCGTGGTATTTAAAACAACAATAGTTTTCCTAGGTATTCTTCCAGACTATCCTCTACATCTATGTTAAATTTCACCGAAATCCGTTCAGCAGTTTAGGCTACAAACTCTAACAAACATCCATTTATCTAAACTTACCCATTTACGATATTAGTAGTATTAATTAAAAAAAATATCGCTATAGCTTGCATATCTGTCAATTATTTTAAAAATGGAATATTAAAGAAGAAAAATTATTCGTATGACACCACTTAAAGGGTTTTAATATTAATTTACGGCCGAGTATTAAAGCTCAGCAGGTCTTGGGTTCGAATCCCGCCATGTACCAATGTGATTTTCGAGTTTTCGAATTTTCATATGTACATATATTTCACACGACGTTCTTATAGTGAAGGAAAACATCGTGATGCAACCTGCATATCGGCGAAGAAATTCAAAGATATGTGTGAAGTCGACCAACCCGCAGTTTGCCAGCGTGGTTGACTATGGCCTAGTCACCCCACATTAGGGTAGGCTCCGAGCCTCTCGATAGGGACGTATAGTGAGCTGGTGATGATGATTAAAACGAATTTAAAATACATTGCTTCATAACGCCACTTACAAACTGTCAGAAGTCAATAATTTTTGTGGAATTTAAAGTTTTTAAAAAGGCTTATCATTTGAGACACTGTTACTTTTAAATATCGTTTCAAGATTAATCCGATAGTATTAATAAATGAATTTTATTTTAAACATACGTCAACTTTGAGGTTCACAAAAATTAGACGCGAAATATAAATTTGACCATAAATAACGAAGTACTTATTGTAGCTAATCTGTAACTCTTCAACTAACCATATTTTTCAGTCACAATTAATTTTATACGAAGTTATTGAAATAAATAAATAACATATCTTGTTGTAAAGAACAGTAAATATTTCCGGATCGAATCGTAATCTTAATGCTTTTCTAGGTTATTATTTCTTAACAGTTATACAAAGTCTATAACCATACATATTTTTAATTCCAGCTCGTGGCAAAAAGAAGAAGCTTAAGCAACTCATCCCACTCTTGGCGATCGCTAAACTGAAGATCATGGCGCTCATTCCTCTCTTCTTGGCTATCATCGCCTTCGCTGCTGTCAAGGCTCTCCTCCTCGCCAAGATCTCACTTCTCGTCGCCGGTATTATCGCGTTGAAGAAGCTTCTAGCAAGTAAACACCATGAAACTAGCTACGAAGTTGTTGCTCATCCTCATCACGAAGAACACTTCGCCAGCAGTGGTCACGGCTGGGGTAGATCAATCGATGATGCTCAGAACTTGGCGTACTCCGGTCATATTAAATCTGATTAAACGAAGTCATAGATAAGCAATAACGATATCGATAATTTAAAAGTAAAAATGTGTCGACGTGACGTAAATTGTCTCCCCGCGGTGGTATTTCTAACCCAGTATAACTTATTCCTACTAGAAATGAGTGTATATCTTTCTTACAGACCTCCTTGTCGGAGTTCTAATGCACTTTATTAGTTAAAAAAATGTCTGTTTTTATGTCATTGTCAGGTTTCTATGCATTTTGTTGATTTTTATACTGATATCGTTTATCGAATAAGGCTTTATCTAGAGGCTTGTATCATAGTAACTTATGATAGATTTAAGAGAATATTTATTTAACTATTTATTCAAAGTTTTGATGGAAGATGTAGAATAAGATTGTTGTTGTTTTCATAAATTTTGTTCTGAATTTGTATGATCTTGTATGTATACTATATTAGTATTTTAACCCAATACGGTATCCGTATTCGTGTTTCATACAAATTGTTGTATGTATATGTATTGATATTATTCTAGTCCTATATTCTCATTATTTGAATTATAGATATTTCTATCCACCTGAATATTATTTAAGTATTTTGTATATATTGTAAATATATTTAGTTTAACTTTTAATTATATATTTGTTTATATTTATGTTTTAATTCTTGCTATTCTATATTTCTTTTCCTGTCATAATCTAAGTAAATATATATCGTAAATATATGTACAACTTCACAAATATAGTATATGTTAATATATAGATTTGTTATATACTTATTTTGCACGCATGTTACAAATATTGTTTCCCATTTCTTGTTATGCACATATTATTTTCGCACAAGAAGAATCGTACAAATAAAGAACTGAAAAATAAATATTGTTTTTAATTACAACCTTTAAAACATAAATAAAACAATTCCTTAAAAATAATAAGAACAAAAATACTTGATAAAAAAAATAATAATTACAACTCTAGGATTGGTAATCTACTCGTATACTGATATAATAAAGAGGAAAGATTTGTCATTTTGTGTGTATTGAAATAACACAAAAACTACTGAGTCGATTTCAAAAATTCTTTCACCATCAGACAGGAAATTTATGTGTACATAGGCTATACTTTTAAATAGATGGCGCTCCTGTCTCAAGTATACACCCCTGCCATGCTAGTAATTTAGTCGAGAATCGAGTAATTTATAAGAAATTTAGTCGTTCAGCAAATCATTAAGACAAAGAGCATTTCAAGAACTAAAATAATCGATAAAATTATTAAACTAGTGTGAACTAGGCGTTAGACTGTTAAAAGTACATATTACAGAGCGTTTAATAAGACCAGAAAATTTGATATATTATGCATGTACTACAACACTAAGTAGTAAAATAAACAGCTTACTGTACTAAGGAATTTACTTTTTACTATGGTCGTTGCCAGTCGATAACTACGTCTATTTCTAGTGGTAGCGACAGTTACCATAATATGGTCTCATTGGAGTAGTTTTCATTTCTTTTTGATAAGGCCGTCGGTTGATGTAACCTGCGCCCCCTAGCGACGCAAGTTCGAAATAATTAAGAGCCACTGCAATACAAATGAGTCGACACAAGAAAGCATTTCTTCAACAATTCTTTCAAATTTGATATTTAAGATGTTGAGAGGAAATAATGGCGATACAAAAATTTGTAAATAAGTATCCAAGGATTTCACGAAAAAAAATAAAACACTCGATTTTACCTTAATACAGTCATAATATTGATAATAAAAAACAGGTTATAATAATTACAAAAGCTTTGTCATTCATAAAAAGAAACTTAAAAGTATACGTAAATAAAAAGATGTATTACGACTTTTTTTTATTTGAAATGATTGTGCAAGAGATGTTAGTTCGTCCTCTTGTCGGAAGATGGCGTTGTATAAGATTTCTTGCTCTTTTATTTTTTATATCTTCAAAAGCATTGAGTAAAAAAACCAAAACGCTAATGTTTGCTACAAATACTAATCAATCTCAATATTTTTATTTTTTTAAGGAAAAATGTCTAAGTAACTTTGTTGATATATAAATAAATAAATACAGCTTTAAAAAAATTCGAGTAAAATAAAGTTTTTTGATTGATTGAGTGATGTTTTAAAATACGATCTTCATTTTTATGTCATATTAAACGAATTACTTTATTTTATTTATACTAACATAAGTAAGAATCGCATTAAAATAAAACGTGAAAGTTTAAGGATGCCGTAAAACTGAACTCACGTAATAATGACGCGAGTCGACGACCTAAATGTTTAACGGATGATTAAAGCAACTTTCATCCTTATGACATCATATTTAAAATCACAAATTGTCATAAAAATACGTCCATTTAATTCAACTATTTCATTAAATTATCCTATTACAATTACAAATTATTATTACACATATGTCTTTATTTATTATTCTACATAATATATTTTACAAGATTTGTATAAAAATAAAATAAAACACATAGAAAAAATAGAGCACCACCGGCTGCGGAATCCGATAACTCAAGTAACCAGTGGTCAGGGCTGCAGAGACAGGAACCTCCTCACTATTCGTGCGGTTTCTAAAATAACCGCATTTTGAATCGGGACCTTAATCCAACTGTCTAGCGAGAGCTTCTTGAGGCGAAGTTTTTCGCTATTAGCCCGTGTACCGAAACGACTATCGGAATAATGGTAGTTGATTTCATACGCCACATGGCGGTAATCTCGTGAGTCAAATCCAAATATCTTTACATATATTATTATTGTTATATTACTTTAAGAAGTAATCGTATCTATATTTTAAAGAAAAAAAAATATTTTTACATGTAATGAATAAACTCAGAAAATATTGGATCAATTTCAAAACTTCTTTTACTATTTGATAGCTACATTATAGATGAGTAACATAGGCTACATTTATATAGGGTAAAAGTTAATTATGTAACTTGAGACTTTTTAAGTTAAGTTATGACACACACACGAATGGATAAGATACGAAATGAGTATGTTAGAGGAAGTTTGAGAGTAGCCCCAGTGGTAGAAAAGGTAAGGAGTAAAAGGTTAGCATGGTATGGTCATGTTATGAGGAGGGATGAATCGCATGTTACAAGGAGAACGTTAGTTATGAGTGTGGAGGTACACCGGTAGAGGTAGACCTAGAAAGAGATGGATGGATTGCGTAAAAGGTGACATGATCAAAAAGGGAGTGATGACTGAGATGACGTATGATAGAGTTATGTGGAGGACAAAAATCTGTTGCGCCGACCCTACGGGAGTAGGATAAGGAGAAAGAAGATGATGATGACATTACAATAGCGTAAATTGTTATTTTATTACAAAAACCGTTAAATGTTTAGTTTAACATTCTTTATCTAACTTTAAACTGATTTTGTATAACTTTTAAGGACATACGAATTAAAAATGTACAACATTCCGATGACTAGTATGACAACTTTTCTAAAACGTATACGAAATATTTAGGTTCATGACTTTCTTCTAATATTACCGGTTCAAATATATGCCCATATTCGCAGTTCCCACCTAAATGTTTCATCAATGAGTGTTGTGTAACGCATGATTCCGGTTACACCCATCGTAAACGTGAAACACAAACAAAGAAAGTCTCGTGTCGCAAGGTGTAAATATGCCGTGTCCTCTATTTTATTTCTTATTGTAATTTGGTGCTAAAATGTATTACTAACTTAAATAACTAACGTTAATAGTATTGGAATTAGATTAGAGTAAAACATTTTAAAATTTAATTACTGTTAATCTCATATATCCTTATATCTAATATATTTTACGTTTTTATAATAAAAAAATATATGTATTACAGTAAAAATAGAACACCAACGGCTGCGGATTCCAATGACTTACGATTACGCTCCGAAATTACTGAACCGATATCAATTGATTACAAGAATTACTTGGCTCAATGGCCAATGATAGGCGACCTCAGCTTAGGCTGTCAGAACTTCGACACCACACAGCATACGCTGGAGGAGTGTCTCGCGTGGGAAGCAGAGCGCCAGAACTTAAGAGCCGTGGTGGGCGATAACCTCTCCCTACCGGCCTTAGTCAAGACCATGGTCGAGTCGGACCAAGCAAGGACTGCCGTTCAAAGATTTAGCGAGGAGGTGATCTCGCTAAAGGAGG